GGGGGGAGAGGGGGGGAAGGAATTTGAGAGTACCATATCTACTGTGATACTGATATTTTTGGTTATGCTCTAGAGCATTTTTATAAACAGGGAGGGCACGCACTGAATGGCAGCAACACTCTGTGCTAATGCAATTTCAGTTGTATAATAAGTTTTGTGGAAATGAGACATGAAGTTTCTCCTGTTTAAGGCTCGGCTTATGATAGTATCTAACGAAATACTGTCGGTATATGTTTGCCGCGGTAGGTGTTAATTTATTTAAATTCTGGAATAGGAGAATTGTGTCAGCATTTTCAGTTATTAATTTCAGCATGTTCACTTTTGGTATGTTTTGCTCTCTTTTTGTGGCCTTGCTTTCGCCGTGCAGAAACAGTTCTCTCTCTACATTGCAGAACATCAGCAAAGTGAATTTAGCTTTTTGTTTCTAAAGAATAGCTTTTGTGACCTGTGTGCACTGTTCCTCCTTCAGGTTTAAAATACCCAAATGCCTTCAGTAATGGCATGTTGAGACACATTTACTCAGACAGGCAGCTTGTGATCGCTTCCCTCTGCTTGAAAATCTGTGTATTTTATACGGAGAGGGCACGTTTGGGGTTTCTTTTCGAGTTTCGTTTGCTGAAACGGGCCTAGCTTAGCCTGTCTTCTCTATGCACAGGATGGCTCCTGCTTGCCAGAGCTGCACAAAGATAATCGCTCAGGAAGTGTTTCAGCCAATCCCCTGAAGCTTTACATTCAGATTTACCGAAGTAGCCAATCCGGGATTAGCTTTTATTAGGAAGACAGATCATCAAGCTGAAGTGCCAAGCCCTTTCTGCCTGAGTACTGAGAGCCTGTCCTCCATGTTTTATAAGTATTGACATAACACTGTGTTAACAATGCATCCACAGAGGTAAGCCTTACTTTTTACATTTTTTTTTCCTCTAGGACCTGTGAGTTGTGAGTTGAGAGTGTGATTCTCTGTGATTTGTTGTGCAAAACTCACACCACAGCACTTTGTTAAGTTGGAACTGTTTAAATTTGCTTTCTTGGGTCACATGGTTAGTAGCCATTAGCCACAGCTTTATTTTGCAGACTGGCAAAACCTTGGCATACCTACTTCTTCACAGGAGGATGGTGTTTTTAGAGTTTATCAAGAACCTGGTATTCCAAAGAAGCTTTCTCTCTCTGAGCAGTTTGCCAGCACTATTGTCTGTTGTGTCACATGCTTGCTGAAGAGAAAATGGAAGCTAGGGAGCAGATGCATTTAACTGCCCTACAGGGAGTCAAGCAGGGATAATGGCAGACAGAAGAACAGGCAAGTTTACCTTTCTAAACAGTGAATGGAATGGCTAAGATAAGCTATCTCTGAGAAAATGTGGGATTTTTAAAAACCTAGACATCAGCAAAAAGTGCTAATGGCAGATTGTAGATATTGGGCCTAGGTGGTGGTGTGCTGTTGCATCATGTTTTTTATGCAGCTTATCTTAAATTAAAATGATTATTGAACTTTTTTTCTTGCAGGAGTAATTAATTCAACGTTTTTCTCTTTCTGAGGGACAATGTATGGTTAATATTTTGTTCCTTTGAATGGGAGTTTTTATGCTGCAGATTTTGGAAATGGGTTGCTGCTCAGTAAAATGCAGCAGTACATCTGTTTACAAATCTGATTCTTTATGAAAAATGATTTTGAACTGTTAGCTTTCTTCTTTTACGTCGTTCAAATAAACTAATGTACCTTTTATCTGTGCCTTTTTATTTTACACTGTATCAGCCACAGTTCTGTGTTGTGGAGTCCAGAGGATATAAAATCATGCGTGGTTCATGACAGTAGTACATGTTGTTCGGTTTACTTTTTTGTCCTTTTTTTTTTTAACTTTTGGTTTACTGCTGCGTAATTATTTCAAGAAATTCCTTTTTGATCAATTCCCAAATCTGCCAGCCTGTTGTATCTTCTTAACTGGAAAAATGAGCTGGGTGCTTGAACAGTTGGTAAGTAAGCAGCATGCTACTCTCTGAACATTTTTAATACTTTCAAACATTTTGTTTTTACTGGGTCAGTTAGTCCAGGAGATGAAGTAGTGTTCATGGTTAGTCATATAAAAAATCAGATTTGCTTAGCGTCCATTTTAAGGGACTGGCACATGTAAACTGTTCCAATTTGAATGCACTGTTTTTTCATAATTTGCCTCTAAAGTTTGAAGCTTATACTTCCTGTTTACCTCAAGCCAGTGAAAAATATTCTACTTGCTGTTTGTTCGTAGATAATTAATTACCATGTTTGTAGGGTAAAACGCATTTTTGTCATTCCTTAGGCTTTTGAGGTGTGATGAAAGTGCTAGTTCTCAGCAATGAAGTGACTGTATGAAGTAAATAATGCTTAATGAGCATATGTTTCTGATACTATACAGTGCATTATCTCAGACAAACTTGCCTGATTTATAACTAATTTGGAACATTTTCTGTCCTTTATTAAGATTTTAATTGTAGCACTTGCATGCTTGTTTTAACAAGCTGGTTTTCAGTGATCGCCAGTATTGTTACAAAAGCAGAGGAAGGATGCTCTTTTGTGCTTTTAATATAGTTTTTGCACTTGTTTTAACAGTCCACGCACATTCATCATTTCAGGAAAGAACTTGGAGCTAAGCTAGCTTTGCAGATGACTGCACCCAGACACAGTTACATGCTAACTTTCATAGAAGGTTGCCATGTATTTGATAACACTGTAATGTAGCAATTTACCTCTGGTTACTTGTATGTATGAATATCTTACTTTGAATATCTCACTTTGCTTAACAGTCGTGTATGTGTCCCCCCCCCAAAGGATTAGATTATAAGAATGTCTAGTTCAGTTTGCAACCTGAAACACTGCTGGGTTGTGCCACTAAGTTTAATGTGATGGCATTTTTGTATGCAATTTTAATGCATTTTTCAGCATACATAAAAGTGCTAACACAGTCAAGAAGTTATTCTGGTTTTTGTTCTTCAGTTGCAAAAGACAGAAATCACATTTGAACGTGATTTTCCTAGCAGTAATATATACACATTAACAGTTTACTTTCAATCTTAGAGTGTACAATATAATATTTGTTTAATATGAGGAAGCAGGAGTAAGTGATCTGCAATCAGAAAGCTTGTATTAAAATGGCTCCCACAGGTTTTGTTAAACTAGGATCCGTTTCAAATCTGCACCTTCAGACACACTGCTGACAGTGAAGCGTATTTGTGTAAGCTGCCCTTGTGCATGTAATGAAACATAGCATCGTGAGTCTGTTAAAATCCACTATTTTTAATCACTCAAATATAATTCTTTCATAGTTCACAAAAAATAAATGTCTGCATTGCAGCAAGATGTCTGAGGCAAGGTAGAGACAGCAGTGTTGTTTTACAGATCAGCCCAATCGTGCTGCTCCATGGAGTACTTGAGCCAATGGAAGCACAGGGTAGGTTAAAGATTGACAATTGCAGTGGCAAGACTGTGAGAGGCCTTCTGGAAATTTCTACCATCTTTGTTCCATCTAAGTAAGGCAAATTCAGCCAAGCTGAAGAATTTCATGTATTTTTGGTGCTTTGTCAAGGTATGATGTTATCACTCACTTTCATAGATTGCATAATAACAAACACTCTGTGCCGTTTTTGCTGCTGCTCAGGGTAGATGGAATGTGGGGCTTTGTTTCAGTGATAATGCAGGGGTAAAGCACGTATTCTTTCTACCCAAAATTTTACAGGACTGGATCTTGTTAATATCACAATTAGACAGGACATGTATGAAGGTTTATTCAGCTTGTAGCAAATGGCCATTATTCTAATGTAACTAGCAGTTAATCATATAATTGCACTTTAAGATTTCTGGCTACTAAAGAGTAATTTGAATCGCCAAGGATGAATATGCTTAGCCATTATTATTTAGTGCCAACATCCAGTTACATTTGTAATTAGCTGGACAAAGAATGCAGTGGGGGAAAAACAAAGGAGTGATCTGGGTTATAAATTATGATGAAAACAGTAGCTTTTTAAAAGCTACATGCCTTTTTCATTCTTTGCAGACAAACTGTTTTAGTTGGAAGCTAAATAGTGCTAGGGAAAAAACCGAGTGATTTCTTTAAGCAAATGAAACTCCTTAACGTAATGAGAATGAAGAAAAATGCAGGGTACAAACCACTCCATTTGTGTCCTTTCCCTGCCTCACATCAGGCAGGAGTATTGAAACATGGGGGAAGACCTCCAGTGCTCCTAAGGAAGAGCATGATGAAATGAACTTCATGCTCAAAAACCATCAATAGGTAGATTACATTACAAATTTAGCCATTCATATCAGTGTCCACAGACTTTGGCCCATCTTCCTGAGCTGTGTTCCAGTTTGTGATACCACTTTTGCTTGCTTTGTTTGTGTGCTTTCCTTTGCTTTTCTTTTTTGCTTTAGTTTTCATGTGTATTGGCCATGTGTATCCAGTAGCTGAAAAGTGACAGGTCATGGTCAGTTTTCCATAGTAATGGTGCCACTCCAGCATCATTGGTTAAAGGGTGACAGATCTCAGTAAAAGGTCTCCCCTCCTCTGTCTGGAATTCAGCGTATTAATTTGAATCTCCTAAATATCTTGGAAATTGAATATAACCTTTGCCCGTGTAGAATGTAGTAGACAGCAATTTTCACCTTTTGTTACTTGTGGATCCCTAGTAGTTTTCCACGTGAATCCCATTATAGTGAGTTTAAGCCTGTTAGAGTGGGTTTGATTTCCTTAGTTTCTGTCTGCAAACCCCTTAGTAGGATCACACTGGCTTTGAGGGGTCTGCAAACCAGAGGCTGAAAACTGCTATAGTAGGCCATCAAGCCTGGCCCTTTAAATTGTATTTAGAAAGTATTTTAAATATATTTTTTAGTAGACGTGGCTTGTATTCATGGGTTAAAGTCTAATTTAGAAATAGCTACATAGGAATTGAGTTTTATTTGTTTGATAGAAGTCTGTCATTCTTATGTTAACCCTTTATTGCCAATTGTCAGAGCATCTGTGTTTCATACTGTGAGATTAAAGCCATGCCGTAGCAGGATATTGACATCCTTAATTTAGCCAGTGTAAACCTTTACTTTCAAACATGATTTTTCTCAAATTGTTTTTAGTGTCTGATGTCTATAGCTATTCTGGTTGCCTTGCTTGGGCCTCAGCTCTGTAGTTTGTAGTCTTAAAAAGACAGTATGACACCAAGGATCACCCTCCCTCCCCTGGTTTTCTCTTTTTTGGAGCTGTTTTGAATGCACACTGAATTAGAATAAGGTTTTAACAAGAACTTAGATGTTTTTTTAAATTATGTATATATAAATACACACACACACATATATACACACACACACACTCTGATTGTTCCCAGAAGTAACTAGCTTTAGCAGTGCTGTATGTAGATATCTGAACAAGGATTTTATGTATGCCAATTGCTTATTACAAATTGAGCATTTTGCAGGGAATTCTGTAAAGTGAAGTGTAAAATGTGATGAGCTCAGACTGGAGAGTGAATCTAAAATTGAGTGATTTCCTTAGTAACCCGTGACTTCGCAAAACTCCCTATCTTGTGCCTTTTTAGTTAAACATTTGGATATCAGGCATCCGTTTGTCATGCTTTACTATTTCTGATATTTGGATGCTTGCTTCGAATATAGCCCTGCTGTTTAAACAAGAGATAGTGTTAGAGAATAAACTGCTACCATTTTAGCTCCAGTGCAGGAATGAGGCAGTGCAGTGCTGTCAGACGCCATTTTAAGAATCCTGCATAAATAGCATAGCTACCGATGAGTAAGAGACTGTTATAGGTGAGTGCTTATACAAAGCTGCTATTTATTCAGCAATGGCATGCAAATATTTTTTTTCAAATTTTTATTGAATGCAGTTTTTTGAAATAATTATTTAGAATTGCTACTCACAGATGTGATCTAGGAGAGGCAGGAATTATCTAAAGGATGAAATTCAGCTTTAGTGCTTCTAGTCTTGTAACTGGATTTTTTTGTTTTGTTTTCTAATAATGAAAAGGAAAAATGAATTCCATAAAGATATAGTTCTTGATTTTAAATTAATGTGTTTATTCCCTGATGCAGATCTGGATTGTGTATGTGGGCATTAGCTGTTTCGAGTGGTTTTCCATATCTGTCAGTTTTTCTTGGTTAAATGTCAAGGTGCAGCAGTTCATCTGCAACTTTTAATTGCTTTTCATAGTTTATGTAGGTTAGAGCAGCTTTAAATATTTTTGTATATGTACTTTTTTTCAGGTAAGTACTACTTACTAGCGCAGGGATGATTTTCCTAAACAGAAGAGTCAGTATTTTATTTACTGGTCTGAAATTTGAAAAACTGAATTTCATATAAAAAAACCTACACCCTCTCTTCACTTTAATAGAGAACATATTTAAAAATCAGGCAGTTCTTTTTGCATTTTCACCTAAGTATCAATAAATCTTGTCCGTCTGCAGTCTTTTTTTTCTTTCTGTCCCCAGCAGTCACCAAAGGAATCACTTCCACCCCTTCTCCCCTCATTCAGACATGTTAAAATGATTTGCATTAAACAAATTAGTTTAACATTTTAGAAAATAATGTCTTCTTTTTTATTGTGAGTTTTGTCAATACAAGTACAGAAGTTTTAAATGATGAATTTGTGTTCTAGTCAATTGACAGGGAAACTGGCAAAGCTTACATTTCAGTTCTGTTCTTAAAATGTGTTCCTCTGTGTTAATTCATCTTAAGAAGAATAGGAATAGCTTTCAGAATGACATAAGGTATCTATTGTATTAGCCTAGGTACTTAATTGAGTATATACCAGTGTCATTTCTGATCTGCAACCTCAGAGCATCACATTCAGAGTACACAGGCATGAGAGTAATGCATGCTGTCTGAAGTAACAGCTCTAAGCCCTGCAAAAAAGCATTCTTAAAATAAAACTCTCTAGAATAGCCTATTTGATCACAGAGTTATTCTTTCCACAGAACTAGATGCTTGTTTATAATTTTTTTGCTGCTGGTTTTTATTTTCTTTTTATTTTGTTGTGGGTAATAGTAAGGTACCTGTCTTTAAGGACCTCTTTTTCTTGAGTTTTTGTTTTGAAATCTTGTACTAATGAAATTGCTGTGTTTGCAAGTTTGTGCTTTATAAAGCAATTACAGAATGTTGCATATATTGATGGAAGGTGGAGAGGTGAAAAGATCTGTCAGCTCTGGAAAGGTTACTGTGAACTTGCTGTGAATTGCTAGCATGTATTTACAAACTTGGGTCTTAAAGACTGCCACTACAATCATCGCTGCCACCATTCAAACAGTGTCACGTTGTGCGAACCACAATACATTACAGCAAATAAAACAATGGGAGATGCTTCTGAGGAGCTGAGGATATGAAGGATCTTTTATAGCTATGTCTGATACGCTGTTTTAACTGTTCCTCCCTAACTTCTCAGGGATTTTCTTACGTACCTAAGTGTTTGTGCCCTTAAAAGACCGAGTGAGATTAATTATGGTAGAGAATATGGAGATGCGATCTGTTCCTCTAAGGCTCAGTTTTCATAGTGTAGTAGATAGTTGCTGAATTTTGTTTCAGCTGTGGGTGACACACAGTGTGCGTGTGTGTGTATAGGATATATGCACCTCCATTGCTAAGAAAAATGAAGTATCTTTGTATCAAGTGGTGAATGCATTTTTGACTGTTCATTTGTCCTCCAAATCTTTGGGAAAGCTGTCTTCAGGCATCTTTTATGAGATGCATCAGAGATGTGTCAAGTCAAGATACTTTCTGTGTCTTGGAACTGCTTATGAAGAATGTTTTTTCTTGTCTCTATTGATCTATTGAGAGAGCACTCAGAAAAGTGATGAAGAAAATAGGCTGAATTTCCTAAATTAAACTTATTAGATGAGGAGAGATAGATTTAGAACATGCTGTAACTCATAGGTACAAGCCCAGGCCTGTAACACCCAGGCAGTGCAAGGTTTGGACCTACAGATGTGGAGCATCCCCAGTCCGCTCTGGCATTTCCCCTGCTACTCTGGCCAGGTCTGTAGGACCAGTGCTTGCTAGTGTGTAGCTGCATTGATCTGTCACACCTGTTTCTCAACTCTGTTTCTTTTAATACTTGCAGCAGCTACTGTATCTTTCTTGTATTGTGTTCCCCTGAGGTGGTGACTTGAACAAAATAATACCCGATAGATTCGATGAGTCTGGAATGTTAGGATTGCTTTAATGTAACTTAAATGTGAGCCGCTGCTAAAAGGGTATTATTCTTTCTCCCCTTCCCCACATGTGGTACACTCGCTTTTCCTCCTTTCTGAACATCCAGCCACACAGTGAGCTAGATCACAGAGCTGCTTCAGCTTCAGTGAGCATGATTTCTGGAACATGAGGTTAGGCATTGGGGAAACCATTCTTTTTAGTAGCAACCTGTGTGAAGTGATCTTAAGACTTCAGCCTGAGTCTCGTAAAGGCTTGTCTGTCCTTGTCTGTGGCTGAAACAGAATCTGTTTTAAAACCAGGTAATGTGTACTGCCAAATTACTTCAGTCTTGATAGAATTCGTGTGTATTACTACATATTTACCTGTGTGCATTATTGATCATGTATACATGATATCTTAAAAATATGGAGTTTGTTAGTTTGGTGATATTAAGTAGGATTTTATAAGGGGAGAGGGGAAGAAAAAGCAATGCAACATGGGAAGAGAACAATGAACCCATCCCATGAGCCCATCTCTTCCTATTGCTTAGGAGAGAATGGACAGAGGCAAGTGGTGAATGAAATGTTTTGGTTTCTGCAACACACTGCCAGCTCCTCTTTGCTGGAGGCCCTCTGGGAAAAGGTGTAACAAATGTGCAGTATAATTGATCTGCCCATGCATAGTAAATCGGTGAGCACTGTAGTACAGTCAGCTACGTTATGCATTTAACCTGCCCATGGAAAATAAATCTGAGAAGCATTGTGCTACGGTCAACTGTGCTACACATTTACCATAACTCTGGTCGCATGGGTGCCTTTCCTTGCTACTGAAATTAACAGCAGATTCCATGAGCTGGGAGACTGGGTGCTGGTAGAATAGAACTTCTCTTCAGTGTTTTATGACTTTAAAGAGCTTAATTTGTAAATGATTGTTAAATACAAATGACAAGTAAAGAATAATGATTTCTGCAGTTCATAGATATTCTCAGCTTTGGGTCTTCCATACATAAGGTTAGTTAGTTTGTATTTTCAATTTTTGCTGATGTAACTGTCCTGTTTAGAAATGTGAAAGGAATTGCAACCCAACCCCCCTGTAGCTGATAGTAGGTTAAAAGTAGTTTTTGACAAGTACCGGACTAAGAAGTCCTTCTGCTGGTAAGTTTTTCTTTGTTTAGGAAGCTGTATTAACTTGTACCAGTAACAAAACCCCTGGTAATATAAACTGTTTGTCAGACTGAAGAGTTTCTCTAATATAAATGTAACCAAGCCCTCAGTGTTGTTTCCGAGCTCTGATTAGCTGTCTCGGGCAGATTAAACCACAGTGGCTAAAGCAAAGGTCTCTAGCTATCCTCTTGGCCTCCATGGTAGAAATAGCTGTCCCTGGAGCTGGGATGTCTGGATGGAATCTCAGTCCACTCCGTAGCAGCAATAGTTCACAGACTGCCATATCAATGTAAACTGGTATCAGCAACAACTTAAATTAGCAGACTAGACAGTGAGTTGTCAATGCAGAGGAAAAGATCTACATCTGCTTGGCTGTTGCACTCTGGTGATATTAATGGGCAACCATGATACCTGCTTCAGGCTCCATATCATCATTTGTCTATCATTTTGAATTTGAGCTCACTTCAACATCATATGATTTCTTTTATCGTTCATCTATGATGTCCAAAAATAGTGTGTAACTCAATATCCGTTCTTGTTTTCTTCCTCTCTTCTGCCTTCCTTCCCTGAACTGGCTTAACTAGCCAAATTCTTCGAGGTGTTTTCTTGAATGGTATCACTATGAGAAATTAGAATATCGGCAAGTCATATATAGTTTGTCTTTTACTTAGTAATTTAATTATGGCTGGAGTGACTTAAAAATGTCTATGTAAGACTGAATGATAGTTAATATTTGGTGGAATTGTATTGCCAATAATTTATAAATATTTTTTCTGTTTAGTCTGTTTTCTGAATCCTTGAAATTATTTATTTAATAGTTTTTAAAATTGCATGTTACCTTTTAATTTTGCAAGCTGTTCTATGTTGCAAAACCTGTTGCTTCAGGTAATCTGTTCACTGGTGCTGCTGAGTGTTTAAATGTTTGCAGGCATCTGTCTGCATGGTTTATGGAGGCCTTAAATTAGGAGCTACAAGGAACAGGATTCCTGTTAGTCTGTCACATGCAGTTTATACATACAGTGACATAGTCTTCATTACACGTTACAAGACTGTCATTAGTATGAAAATGTTAATTTTGTAATTGGTAACATACAACATACATGTGTACCTGAATTGTTTCTCTACGTGTTTTGGTCAGTGTATACTCTGGCAAACAGCAAACCTTTCATTTCGTCAGAAATGTTAATACAGTTGTATCTGACAGCGTTATGTTGAACTTTGGTACATTAAGTTAGACATGGGAATAATACAATCTATGACTATTCTAATTCATCTTTTTGTATCCTGCAGCTTGGCTGAAGAGGAAATAAAGGCAGAGCAGGAGGTGGTGGAGGGGATGGACATCTCCACTCGATCCAAAGGTGAGTGAGAAGGAATCATTCATCTGTGTTCTACAGCATATGAGTATTTGTAAACGAGGGTAGTGAAACTGTAATCTACCCTTAAGCTGCTCTTGAGTGAAGACTCAAGACTCATTGCATTTTTTGCAATGACTATTGTATACTAGGAAGTATTTTAATTTTTGCTTGGTTTTCATTGTATGTCTCGCCCCTTGTTGTTTCTTGTTTATGAATAACTGACTTAGATTAAATGATGAAAAACTTCAGTCTGTTGTATCATTGCACTTATCATGGCTTCCTTTAAAGTACTTTTAGATTTCCACTGTAGGAGAAAATAGTAGTAGTAATTTCCTACAGTATTTCCTACAGTAATGAATCCTAATTTTCGCAAGAATAAGCATAGTAACATTTCTCTTTCCACAAAAATTGGAATTGCATGTTACTGAGAATTTCTGTCCTTACGTTTTCTGGAGTTTTCACTATGAATGAGTTACTATAGGCAAATGTTACCTCTCAGTTTAAAGAAAACCAAATGTTTAACCATTTATATCAGTGTAAATATTCCCAGTGTCACTTGGAGTGCGGGAACAGAAATGCTCTTCAGTCAGAATACTTGCACATAATTGTTTACTCCAGTGCATTGTGATTGACTGCCGGTCCATTTCCTTTTGCACTTGCAGCTGAGTTTACTTGAAAGTCTTTTTCAAATGACAGCGATGGTTACTATCATCCTTTTTAAATTCTGGCACATTCCCACTTATTCTTCACATTTTGACTACAGGGGTTGTAAGTCTAGTTAAGTCTCAAAGTGCAGATCTAATTCTCTTAAAAGCATGGTACAGATCATCTTCATTCCTTCAGTTTTTAATAGGGTAACTGAGGTAGATAACATGGTTATAAAATTGCATTTAGGTCTCATTTGTGCTAATGAACAGTCAATTTCTTGTTTTAGTTTTCATGGTATGCTTAGATGAGGCAGTAGATATAATCTGACACATCAGAAGAGAGACACTTGTTCCTTTTGCTCCTTCTCCCTTCTCTGCTTCTGGTCTTGCATGTCAGTCTCCATTGCTGGACTGCTTTTGATGTTTGCTTATCTCCATATTTCAGTTTTTCGAAGCCAGCAGAAAGTAAACTATTTTTTTCTTGCTTTAATGATTGCTGCTGAATGGGATAAGCTCCCAGCCTTACTTCATTTGTGGTCCTTGTCAGTTCCCAGCCACTTGAACTTTCTAACCAACTTACAAAATTGAAACATGTTTCTGCTGTTGTAGTGACCAGTTTGAGTATGAGAACACAATGTAAAAGACAAAGGGCGTTATTAGATGCATTTAGATGCCCATGAGATCTCACCTTCATTGCTCCTTAGAAAGATGTTGGCACACATACTAATACTAGTAAAAATTTCATGTGCTTCAAGTGAGCTAAACTATTACTTTTGTCACTCTGACATAATCAATGTCAACAGGCCATTTATGAGTCTGGTAGTCACCACAGTGCTAGTCCAGATCGGCCCAAGCTGTCATTGTGTGGAAGTCACTGGTCTGCACACAGTAGGACTCTTCGTGTTTTAAACACCAGTGAGAGTGATCTGAACGGTCTTTGTACATCACCACAGCAAAGATAAAACTTAAGAGGTTGAATTAATTGAATAATACTAATGGAATTTTTATTTATTTAACTAAATACTGATTTGCTTTAATTGATTTGTTAAATTTGACATGTATGTTGATGAAACCTATGTGTTGGTGGGGTTGCAATCACGACGAGAAAAAAACTGATCTACACAGTTGCAGATAAGCAGGTGGTACTTTATCGCAGCGCTGGGGAGACACAGAGTATAGCTTCTCCAATTGTGCTCCAAAGTCCATACATTTTCATAGCTCATTTATACATTCCTAACAAAGCGATTTCACAAGATTATACAAACATGCACAAAATGTCTGCTTTTTAATTTGCCCTTTACCATGATTTTGCCCTCACTGATTTTGGCATACAGAAGCGAGAAGAGTTGTGACCTAATCCTTGCCTTATCACAACTATCCTGCACTTGGTATGTACCTGGGAGACCATGGTACCAGGGGTCCAGCCTCTCTTCTTGGACCAGGAATACCATCAACATCTTTACCACCAGGTTCTTTCTTTATCCCCTTGTGGTCCAGGGCTTCCAGAAGCTCCTCTTTCACCCGTCACTCCCTGCAAGCCAGGCATCCCTGTACATACATTCTCTAAGCACTTAGGCACATATATTTGTAACTTTAGCTTTAACTTTGCAGTTTAAGCAGACACCTACTTTAACTATTTTAACTACTTTAATCAATCAAAATGTTTTCTCGACCATAACATATGCAAGTACCTTTCTACGGGCAAGAATAACAACCACCCACCCACAAGCCCTTACGGGTATATATTCTTTTCAATGAAGAAGTGATGTTCGTTGTAAGGAAATCTTGAGACTTGTCTATAAACCATCCTGTATTCCCAACCTAATCTTTGAAGTAGTGGTAAAACTTTATACTAGTCGAATATGTAGTTTTGCATAGAAGGTAAAAGGATCATATGTATCATCTGCCTAGTATGAGAGCTGACCATATTATAGGCCTGCTAGAATCAGTCTTTCTGGACTTCTGTTATTTGGATTGAGGCAAGTTTCTCTGTTATTTCAGCACAGTGTTTCTGTAGCAGAAAAGTCAGACCAGAATTTTAAAACCCTTGTTATGCTCAAGGTAAGGTAGAAAAAGTGCAGTGAGGTTCTAAACTGGTGGGGTAGTGGTAACAATGTTTCCTCTTTTAACATTAATCTTGATCAGAATTTTGCTTTGTGTGTTTTAGAAAGGATGTAGATGAGAAAATTGTCCCTATATAGACAAACCCTTAAGGGTCGCATACAGCTTTTCTTGGTTGGTCTGGGTTTTCTGATGGTCTGAGAAGCAGTGGTATTGGTTAACTTCACTTGTCCTGGAGAAGCTGATATGCTGCAAGTTTGTAACCTCATTTGCTCTGCTACAGTGTTTGTACAGCTCGTGTGAGGCCATGTCTAAAGAAAGTTGTAGGAAAAGCAATTAAATTGGTTTAAAACCGATTAGCCTGATGCAGACCTCTTCATGAACATTCTTGTTTTAGTATAAGCAGTTTAATTTTAATTGCTGTAAATTAATTCCAGTTCAGTTTAAGCTAAACTGAAACATGCATTGTTTAATGTGTAACAAGGGCGTTAATATACCCTTTGAATTGGTTTAAGTTAGTGGTTTCAAAGCAGCCTAAGCTGGTCAGGCTGCTCAATGCACTTCCTTCCATACCTCAGCTGGCAGGAAACTAGCTGAACTGTAAAACATGAATAGTTTTCTACTAGCTTAGTGTGCTGAAATGGCTTGGTAGGCTGCCAGAACTGGTTTAAGAGAGAGGACAGGAATATACCAGTTGGGTGCAGGAAGTATAGAGCTTTGTTAGCCAGCATTTAGATAGGGCTGTAATGAAACCGGAGCTTACAACCGTAGCTGACGCTTCTTTCTTACACTTGAAAATGTGATACATAAAAGTGAGCCTATAGCTGTGGTCAGAGCTATATAGCCCTACATATGCTCATCTTCAGCTGCACTTTTCTGCCCTCTTCCTTAGGCTGGCACTGATGCTTATGCTGTTGCATGGTAAGCTGTATGAAGCGGCTGATCTAGCTGAAAATGGATCATTTTTTGTAGTATCATTTTTTGCCTGAATAATAAACTGATTTACCCTACTGTTAAGCACAAGTGCCTGTCTGCAAAAACTTGTGGGGACAGACATGTGGTGAGGTGGAGAGGGGAAGAGGAGGAGAGTTACTACAGCAGTTACATTTAGATCTGCTTATAAGCTGTGCATGTGCAGCTTTACCAAAGACGTGGTTTTAAAATACACTGCTCTCTCTTGATCAGAACAATAAGGCATAAGACATCTGAGGACTGGAAATGGGAAATGACAGCTTAAAGAGAATAAAAGGAGTCCAAAAACATGAAATGTAGTCAGCCAAGGATTGCTGTTTAGCAAAGGAGAAAGGCCATAGGTTAGATTATTATAATATTTTGTCCACTGCATATGAGACATTAACAAGTCTGACAGAAACATCCTGCTATACTTCTGTTCCAGCCCTGTGGCCTACTTTTTAACCTTGTTTATTAACTATTTCAAGATGTGGCTTGCAAGGCTTTCTGGAGAATTTTCTGAGTATTTCCAGGTTATGGTTCCAGAGCAGCAGAACTGAGTTGTTTGGTTCAGTTCTGTCTTCACTTGCTCTTGTTCACTTTGGGCAGCAGTGAACTCTCCACTGGGCTTTTTCATCCTATTGGCCTGAAATAATTTTTTTCTTTTTTAATTCTTGAGTTAGTTTTCTGCTAGTTTATCTTACTTGCCTGCCAACAGTAGTAAGGTGTGGAGGCACATGGACTTTCATGTAGGTTTCATATATTTCAGCTACTCATTGCCTGTCTAATGAGTAGTCAAAAGGAGGTCTTTAACTCTTCTTCCCATCTTCAGTCATACATCCCTTGCATTGCCTTTGAATCTGTGCTGGCTCTTAGCCACCACTTGTCTGAGTCAGTTAAGGGCTTGGGTATAGAAGTAGTTTTCTACTTGCTTATCTCTCTGAACCAGATTACTAGGGAGTTGGACAGATGTTGCTAGAAGCAGACTTGCCCCCATCGTGACAGCCAGTCATTAGATGGTCTTAGGTTGTCATGAAATCATACACTTAGATGATTGCTTCATGGTGAGAATTCTGACTTCTGTAGCTTTTGTAGTGCTGCAGGTTTATGTTGAAGGCTTTGGTCTTAAGGGCTTCTCTCAGGCAAAAGATTCAGGTATTATGAATATAAATGCAAAATTGCTAGTAAAATAGAATTTCCAGAATACTTTATGTATTTTGTAACAGTTTCATAATAGTGCATTGTGTATCAACTTTCTGTGCAGTGATAGCAGGTATTTAATCACAGAGAGATGAGATTCTCTCTCCAGTGTGAAAGGTAATTTGAGAATCCTTCAGTGAGTAG